GCCATCTGGAACGACGGGTGCCACGAAAGACCGCGACCGGCTGCACCGCGAGGCCTCGTTCAAGACAGATAGGTAAGGGGATTTTGACGGGTTGCACTATAAGGACATGTGTGGTCACCGCGAGATAGATAGATAGATGATGCTCTACAGCGTGGCTACCATTCCTTTGGCTTCCAAATCGTGATAATGCTAGCAACGCTCGACGCCCCAAATGTCCACCGGCTCCTCGTTGTATCTCTCGGGTAAAAGGGTGTCGAGCTTTGCATTGCATCGCTGGACGGCGTCGTGCAGATCGCGCGCATGGAATTGAACAACGGGCAGGATCCGCGACAGCGCCTCGTCCGTGAGAGCCTTGTAGTAGGCCACCTCGTTGCTCAGGCACCTGATTTCCTCGTGCAGCTCCGCTATACGGTTCTGATGAGTTGTTGCGCCTTTCGGAGGCAGCTCGTGGAAGAGCAAGGTGCTCGTCGTACCCCCGCCAAGTGGACGTATATCAAAGTCTACGGGGCCGAGCGATGGCGGACGGTCCTTGGCGCAACGAGAGAAGCGGTTCTTTAGACGCAGACCCTTCATAGCGAAGACGAGTACCGCGAGCCGCTTCGTCTTCCAAGCAAGCCACCGAAGCTTATATACCCGCCGTTGCCTGCGGTTGCTGCTGTATCCAGAATTGGGCATGTCGTTGTGACGTAGCCTGGGTCCAGAATGGGGCAGTGTGACGAATGCTGCCTTATTCATGTATCTTGTAGGTGATCGACATGTGATGACTACCTGGCACAGGATAGACGAATAAGCCGGGGCTCGCGGTTCGGGACGCCATGAACAGCCTGCTAGGTGCGCATAAGAATGTACGGATAGTCACTAACACACGTAAGTGAAGCAGAATGCGCAGTCGAGAAAGCGGCGTGCCACTTACATAAAACTCCTTCACATTGCAGTAGTAGAAGCGGGCAGGGACGACAACGTAGACGAAGCGTGGTCGACTGCGATCAGGTAGGGCACAGACTTGGGCGCCGAGAAAAGTGACAGGTAGAATTAATGAATGATTGCAAGCGCCTACTGTATTAGGCCCGTTCCCTCTGCACTATGTCACTGACTCCAGCTATCGTAGGCGGCACGGCCAGCATAGCAAGCCCTTGGCCCGTCCGGCATCCAGTTCGCTTGTCCTTAGCCTGTACAAAGCCCGTCACCGACGGCAGCGCCATGACTAGGTGTTAGAAAGTGGGTTACCGATGAGGCTGGTCGGGTCGACGGTGTCATGATTGAGGTTGATCTGGTGAGAAATGCCCCGTAGATGCTCCTCCATTCTTTCCCATTTTTCAAGACACCTTGATCGAGGTTAGTTCGCCTGTGGCATGGCGCCGACGATGTTTCTTACGTTTTCGAACAGTTCTGACCCTCTAGGTCCGAGACTCTGCGATGCGATCAGCTTTGAGACGAAGACGAATGCTTTATCAAAGGAGACAGACCTCTCCATTAGGTGCTGTTGTCTGTGTCGGGTTACTATCAGCCCACGGACCCAAGGGATAGGCGTACGCTTTGCTAACGAATTGTAACCTCCAAACATTGTCAGTCTCGGAAACACAGACGCTTGCGGTGACGTACTCGTTTTTGAGTCTCTCGTTCTCCTCCTGCCAGGCGTGCGGTGTACCACCATGGGTTGGTCTATGCAAGGTGGTCAGCTGGCGTGCTCTGTGAGGACGGACTAGTGCCTTGACAGACAGGGAGCTTGGAGCACGCAGGCTTGTCCGAGGATAGTCCATGTTCGGTGGACCGTAGCTACCCCGCTGCCATGGCTGGTGGCCATTGACTTGGACTTGGTGCAACAGCTGTTCGGCCGCTGATGGTACTCGATGAGGGCTGGTGGGATCCTGTCTTCGACGCCATGATTCGAAGCTTGCGTTTCCCGGGGGTCCAAATTGGTTGTTCATATCGATGGGAAGGAGAGGCAAAGATATCAACTACCACGACTCCACGGAGAGGGACGAGGGACGACGGGACTTCAACCCGGTGCTCGCCCTTCTGTTTAATACGGGCAATGGTCCTGCGCGAAACGAGCGACGTGCTCAACGTCAACGTCTACTTCTGGACGACGGGAGTCGCAAAGCGCAGAGATGCACGGTGGCGACCGAGGTGTCTGCTTAACGGGACCAAGGCGGCGGAAAGTGTGGGTGGGCCTGATGCTGCCGCTCAGCTTCAGGACCAGGGTATTCGCCGTCATGGGGCTACGGGATGAAACGGCTTCCCGGCCGGTCGGATCAAGTCCCAACCGGCCACATCCTGCCGTGCGTCCGTTCGCTGCAGATCTCACCATAAAGGGGCAACCGCGCAGACAGCTGTGGGAGTGGCCCACAAAAACAGAGATCGTCTGACGGTGCTCCGGCTTCGGCCAGTCTTCGATGTGGCCGTTTCTTACTTTCGTTCACTCACATTGCAGCAGGAGTTCGTTCGGTGGGAGGATTTCTAGAGTCACAGATGAATACTGTACGTAAACATAAGATGCTGAACGATTGGCCGAGCTAGATGTAGCCGGACCACCTGCGCCTGTGATTCGGCCCGTGCAGACAGCGTAGTTTACGAATGAGATACGGTTATCACCACGGCCCTACGGATAGATTGCACCGCGATACGGTGCACACAAGGTCCGGATAACTCGAAAGCTTCCACAAGCTCCTGCCCTTACAGCACGTGAACAAGCACATAATCGCCCTCGATCACGTCACTCCAGGCGAACGCAGCCGTACACTTTGGACACCCCTTGCGTAAGCCAAGCCATAGCTTTAGGCAACTCTTGCAATAGCAGTGGCCGCAGGGTGTAAAGGCTGGCGAGCACGCGAGCCCGTCCTCGAGGCATATTTGGCAAATCTCATCATCCCAGCCGTACTGTCTGATCCAGGACTGTTTTACCCTCCGCCGGCGCTTTGTCGCCACGCACTGGTGACAGTAGAGCTAGGACACGTTAGAGAAAGCTTGGCTGACAAAGGCAGCGAGCGTACGTACAAGACTCAAACCGCTGAGCCGCCATTTCGGACCCCTCGAGAGCCTCTTGCTGCAGGAGCCGCACCTTCGTCGCAGGAACATCTCACCATGCGATGACAGTGAGAAGGGAAAAAAGGGTTCGTAAGTTGTGTCCGTGTGCCGGTGAGAAAGAGAGATGCGGCTGTGAGGCGAGACCTGTGATATATATCCCCTCCGTGCGCCACCCCTGCTAGGCCCAAGGGGCTTGTGCTTACGCCCCATGGTACAATACGATATGCACCTCGAGCTGTACTGTCCGCTTCATGGTAGCTCGGCGTGGAAGGTGTCGGGGCAAGCTTAGAGCAAAGAACGTGGACTGTCCCCTAGGCGTCGAGGACTTGTTTGCAAGGCGTTCCAAACGGTGTATAACAATTCTTTCTGTGAACACAATTAAGTAGCCACTTTTCTACGAAAGATAGGTACCCTCAAACGGCCCCCTACCTGGTTTCTGCACTAGGCAACTAAGGGTGACTTTGGCTACACCCAACGACCTGCCTCCCTCGCCCGTACCTCGCCACTTCCAATTTTTCCTTCCGTCGTCGTGATACAACCAGATGGTTTGATCTTCTTGGTCGGACTGCACGTCGCACACGCGCACTCCCACCCGCGAAGTCTCTTGCAGATCGTTGAACGCTACTACAGAGCTTTCCCCCGTGGTCTCGTGCACCCAAGAGCAGTGATCCGCACCCAAGAGGTAGGAGGGCGCATCCACAGTCAGCTTGACCTCGACTGCCTCGAGTTGAACCTTTCGGCGCTTGGGGAACGGATCGTCCCTATCGCTTGGTCTTTTGCGCTTCGTAGCAGTCTCCGTTGCCGAGAAATCAGCGCGCGTGTCACCCTGCCGTGTCTGGCTCAGGTTGGCCTGCTCCTCGGCGTCGGCGCTGACGCACGTGGATGCTGTCTCCGTGTCACCGGTCTCTGTCGTTGAGACGGCCGCATTCGCCAGGTCTGCCTCGGGGTCTGGCGGTACCACTGTGAGATCGGCAGGGCAGCAGGTGTCCGGCGCAGCGCTGGTGAGGAGATTTGCTTCCGAGAGAAGAGTCATTGGCTCCAAAGGCATCGTCGGTGGCGCGTATGAATTAGTCAGGCAACCGCCCGTAGCTCCTTCAAGTCCTGGCCGGATCGGCGTGCTAGTGCCGTGTTGCTGACATGGTGAGACGGGAGTCGTGCATTCGAGAAACGACTCGTGCTGCCCCGGATCCGTTCTGCACAGTGCCTGCAACTGCTCTTCGAGAATTTGTGCACCGAAGAACATGCCAGACTGGTCCGTGCCGTTGGTATGGAAAGAACTAGAGTAGCCCTCAAGGAGATCACCATTCCCTGTTGTTGGTGTAAAGACAGTACCAAGGCATTCTGGGAAGGGGATGCAGGTGGTAGGTGGTTGAGAGGAAGTCTCTTCGCTTCTGGAAGATGATGCCAGCGGAAAACGGGATAGCTCTCTGACTATCTCATCATCGCTAGGGGTGGATAGCCAGCCCCCCTCCAAAAAGGGTATGACGGTATGCGACGCCTGTTCGATGGTTTGGCATTCCTCGCCGGGCTGGTTCTGTGTGAGGCGCGGTTCTTTGTCACCGGGAAACTCGACTGGTCTTGTTGCAGTGGATAGTTGACTGGTCGATCCGAGGTTGTGGCTTCCGCTATCCCGACTTCCGTTGTAGGGCGCTGGCTCCTCCGTGTCAAATTGGCCAATACTTAGTCGTAGCGGAGGAAGAAGATCGAGCATCGGGATGCGTGGTGGTCCTGGGGCCCCAGGCGTTGGTGACGTCGAGTCAGGGGGAGTCTGTAGTGCGACCATGAGATGAGGCGGCATATATTCCTGCAACATCGATATGGCACTGTCGCACTCTGAAGCCATCTTGGAAAGGGATTGGGAGAGAAACGGGTAACCACTTGCTTGCTTCTGGCCCACGCTGATGAATGAAGCCACCGCCTTCATGAGTTCGAGTATGAGTGGAGGGTTCTCCAGCATACTGTCGACTGTATCCTTGGCTTGCGCGGTATCCATGGCGGGCGACTTCGGCGGACGTCCCTCTTCTGTGGTAAGCATGGGGCATGTAGTGGATGAGGCGAGTGGAAAGGGTGAAGCAGAAAGGGACAGACGGAATGGGCCAAAGGCGGCCTTATGTATACTTTCGGTGGTATGGTTGGTGGTGGCCACAGCCTGCCCATGTCTTCGCCCCTGACTCTGCGTCACAGCGTGGAGTGTGCCCCCTTGGGCCATGCATTGTTTGCAACGGCGGCCTGCATGACCTGATGTTGTGTTGCTGGTACACGCAACACGAGATAGCCTTCGTTACACTGATATCGTGGTACTGGTCTAGCTCACTGATTGGATGGGGAGCAAAGGGATTTGTGCTCAACAAGCTGCGGATAACCTGCTGCCGTAGCGAGATGGATCTATATTTCGTACACACGTCGGCGGGTTTCAGCATTGTGCTACGCGTCTCTAACTCGTTATTGCCGTCTCAACGGCACCGACAGTCGTGACATTGTACGGTACGCAAAGCGAAACATGCAATGGCCCATGGTATCTAGAGGCCACCTGCGCAGGCCAACTATACGAGCCATCTCAATCCGTGAAAACAGATCCCATAAGCCCATTACGCACTGGCGTGGTAAATTAGTACTTCCCCGGACCCACTCCTGGCCTCTCGTAGGCAAACCATGTACGCTAGGGTCCGTCCGACGGCCGGCTGCTTGCAGAGCTGTCCCGCCCGAGGCGAGGCAAACACGGCGAGCAGCAGTGGAAACAGTACATGGCCCTCCGCGTCATTTGCACCACTGCTTCTTCTCTAAGGCGTCTTTGAGCAGCCAATGAAGTTGTATGTCTATTCTCTTTGCATCTGCAGCTGGAAACGGCGGGTGCATGGTGCTCACAGACGCTAGTCGCCGTCATCCTGTCCGTCTCTATTGTCCAAGATGGGTGCCCCACCCCCAGATTCCGGGCCAAAGTATTTCTCTCTCCGATCGGCGGCTTTCTCAATACCAAGAATCATGCTGTTCTGAACACGGAGCAATCTCTTTGCTGCAAAGCTTATGGCGGAAATAGAATCCATATATCCACACGGGTGGTCCGCTGCGTCGAATCGGCAGGCCTTCGATAATCGTATAATCGTGTCCTGCAGCTCGAGGCTTCGATAGATGGCTATTTTTAACTGTTCCAGTGGATACCTCTTGGAGCCTATCTTCTGCCGCGCCCGGCCTCTATACAGGCTGTCATCCTCGGAAGAGTCGAGGGACTGCGTCTCGCCCAGGGCATCGCTGTCGTTGATGAAGTCGACAAGGCTATTGGTGCTTTGCGAGTCCACACTTCGCTGACTACTGCCTAGAGCACGTTAGGTGGTTCTTCTTAGGAACGGGCTCCTCACCAGATAGGTCAGTGCCTTCGGCGTCGCTGCCGGCCCATTCACTCGTGGAACTCATCTCACGTCGTGTCTCGCTGTACCTCAGAAAGCGTCAATCTTTGCTCGGACGATGTGTTTAAATAATTACGTACGGCCTGTCCCGACTGTACATGTCGGCGGTGGAAAGCGGCCCGTACCGATCTACGTGTGCCCTCGGGAGAGAAAAGCCTATTGTGGTTGTAGTTAGCCGGGCTTATGGGTACGGAGCTTCGGTCCCTCTACGGGAGGACCTTACGCTCGCTCACCTCTGAAACAGTCTGTGTCTTCCCATGCATGGCTCATCGACGGACGTTGCTTGATTTCGGGCGGAGACCAGCCAGGAATGGCTTCTCGTTCAAGCATTCGACTCGGTTGGACAACCTTCTCCCGGAATGAGATCACAGCCCTATACATAATCGGTCTTTAGCGGCCGGCGTCCAGTTCAACAGGGGCAAGGGCATAACTATGGACCATACTATCTAGGCGACGTGCTCATCTAGTGGCCGTCTCAGGTCTCCGCTCATCTGGATTCCCTATTGTCAGTTAGAGAGAGGAACTCATGGGCCAAGTGCGCTTCTTCGTGCAGCACATCCTACACTCGACAGAAAGGAGAGGCCTTGTAGATAGCACGTGAGCTCGACTACTAGGCTGAAAACTACTCTAGATGCTCTTCTTGGCGTGAATGAGTGGAGAGAAGAGTGAACGAACATCGCTACCCCGAGGCTCCTTACACCACGTAGGAGGATCAGCTGGGTGTGAGTAGCTTTTTGTATACTTCCCGCGCTTGATGAATAGGCATTGTCGCGTGTGCTGGGCGTCATATAGCAGAAAGTCACATTAATTACAAGACCCTTTGGGGTTAAACTTGCTCTCTTTCTATCTAGCAGCAGGGCTCATATGGAGGTTGCTGACATTCTGCAGGAAGAAATCTCAGGTAGATGCACCATTGGACGGCGAATCGTCCCTTTCATGCTAAAGCTGGACGCTAGACTGGGACGGAATGTTATATTAGCTGCAATCAACGGGCGTGCGCAGACGACAAATTCGTATTCGTGGCTGAATGTTGTCATTCTGCATGCGCCCGGCGGCGACCGCTGCTCAACACTCCCGTGTTCCTCCATCGCGTTATGTCTGGTCGTACCGCTTCATCTGTGCCTTCGCGTTGCATCGATTCTCAACTGCTGCACTGCTTTCTCCAACTCAGGCGTAATCTTCAAATCGTTGGCCGGCAGCGTGAATATTGTGTGCAGATCGGAGACCAGAGCGTTCTCGAAACATTGCTCGGGGCTAATGAAACCTAGATCGACGGATAGAAGCATCATTTTCTGGTTTGTCAACTCACGACCCGCCTTCAGCACAGCCGTAGGGTCGCCAGCGTCAACCTGCTTGATTGTATGGAACCTCCCGTCCGAGTACGCACGGAACAGAACACGGATAGGCTCCGGTGACGGGCTTGCCTGGGCACGGCCAGGCGCGATGCTGTCCCTAGAAGAGGCGACGCTGCTGGACTCGGTGATGGGCGAAAGTCCGGCCCGTACGGACTCTACGCTTTGTTTCCTGAAGTTTTGAATGCTTTGCTCGAGTGTCAAGCGCTCTATAGGCGGAGAGCACGTTCTTGTCGGCTCTGATAGACGCTCTTCGGCCGCATTGTGGAGAGGACTCCATTGTCTCGACGCTTCATGCTCTGAGCCGAAGAAGGCATCGTGATGCTCCGAGTTACCCATGATGCCCCCACGGCCAGATTCTGGCAGCCAACGCGGGTGTGCCGAACAAGCTGTGGCGCTATCATATATCTCCGAAGACGTCCAGCCATTCCGCGCTGTTCTTTACGCCCTGTAGAATGACCGGTGCGGGTATGCCTGCGAGATGAAGCAGGGGTATTTCATCTTCGAGCTCCCACGTGGGACAGCCGTAGTCTCTCCACTTCACGCCTAGGTACACGTTACTACCCGCCGACTGGTGCATCCCGAGGATGGCTTCGATGCGATGGGTTGAGTCCATGTTGCTGATGCGCGGGCGAGCCTCAAAGTCTCGCCACAGTGTCAACTCTGTGCCGGTGTCCAAAACCCATAGGAGACTCTCCACATCCACCCAATCCCAGAGCTGATCCACAGCCTCGGCCCGAACGCCGTGAAATATATGGCTGGACACCCGAATGGTCAATAGGACTTCTAGAATGACGACCTCGGGCGACCAAGGCGTCCGAACGTGGCGCCCGCGGTGATGTTGCTGCGGCGCGAGGACTTCCATCAGAACACGTTTGCACGTTTGCCACGTCAACGAGCGCAGAAGAGTGCTATGACGTGCCAAAAGCACGAATTCAAGCAGCAGCGTTTACTTATATGATGTGCCTTTGCCCTCGCCGGCTGGAAGTAGATTGCTAGTGTATCCGACCACAAATGAACAAGTGGCTGTGCCCCCGACTATTCGCTACGATAGCTACCGCGTGCTTTTATTTCCATGTACAGTAGGCCTTAGCATCGGAGAGGTGCTCGATATTATTGGTTCCACGTTCTGTACTACAGTATGTCCTCAATGCAATGGTTATCATAGCGCCAAGTGGCCATACACGGCAGGACGAGCAATGGATGGAAGATGGCGCTGCCAATATCTGGTCCACGCCGCCGCTACTCCAACACCACCGCCTTTGGAGAACTCGTCGCCCGGACAGGTATAATATGTGTCATTCCTTGAAATTATGCCGTACGAGCCGTCTTTGCCTGAAATATGCCGTGTCAAATCGATAGCCTCCGACATGTGCTCTGACGGGCTCCTCGTCCGCATCAAGAAAACGGCATCTACAATATTGCGTGCCTCAATGCGACCTGAGCCGTGGCAGGATTACCTTGCTTGACCTGTGTCAGACTACTATACTAGAAGTTGGAAACCATTCCACTCATCACGGCCTGTAGTGGTAGTACCTCCGCACTGGCAGCTGAGCCGTGTGGAAGAGATCGCAGAAGATCTCTTTTGGCCACGAGAATTAGGTCTTTATCGATACATATAGACAGTATTTAGGAAACGATTCCGTTACCCGGGGGAGGTTTTCATGACCTGCTGTCGGCTAGGACACCAAACTGGAGTTCTGTTGCCTTTCGCGAGTCACAACTGGAACTCAATGCTAGTGGCCCCCGAGTTCCGATCTCCATACTCTCAGTCTTTGATTTTCCTCTGAACGCCTTCGGTGACCCGAGGTTGTCGGCTAGGTGCGCAATCCGGTTGTTGGGGACCGTTGATCATCTCAGCCCAAGGACAGTCGGTCGGCTGCTTTTTATTACGACAGGCGGCTTCGACAGAAGCAGAGGTTGTTGTCCCTTCAATTTGGCCCCCATGGGCGGCGTTGGTTGCGCAGGTCTATGGGGTCGTTGATCGTTATAGCGGCGGGCATCGTGCGGCGTGGCGGGCTGCGGTTCGGGGGCTGCGTTCCCTGCGTGGAGAGGACTGCCCCTGGGTTTGATGTAGTACGCTGGGTCTGTTGCTGGTGTTGACTGTACATGTTGTCTAGATTTTGCAGGTGTTTAGCGTACTGATGGAACTCCCGGCTCGGAAGCGGGTTGTGAAGCAGCAAATCATGCAGTTCATAGGAGATTTCTTAGAATAGTAGTGGTGTCAAATTGCTATCAGCTATCTCTCCATCTAAGCCGAGGCTTTGGAACTAAGTACGCAGCTGACCGATCCGCCTTATATCAACTACTAAGAGCGCCTTATCACAGGCCGAGCTGTGACGTCTTACGATGGCCACGCTTCATGCATCAGCGTGTGCTTGAGGCATCTTTTCTTCAAATTCTCTGAATAGATCCTCGTTACCCTCTGAAAAGGAAATCCTACCCACCTTCACGACAAAATCCTTCTGCACAAACCCAATCTGCTCCAATTTCTGACCATACGTCAAGACTGCCACCGTGTTCCCGTCTTCCGGCAATAGTTGTAAGATGTCGTCGTACTCCTGAATGTATTGGCCAACTTTTTGGGGGATACTGACGCTAAAGCCATCACAGGATACCATATGTGGAACTTTAGGATCGATTTCGCCCGTTAGGGCAACAAGTAGTCGCTCAATGTTGGCGTCATCCACCGTTTTCTTGTGTCTTTGCACAGGCTTCCAGTATTCGGGATTCTGCGTGCGATGGTTTTGTAAATCCTGGCGGCGTTTGAATACTGGCCACGATGCTGCATCCGGTCCGTAGCGGTCCGTCTTATTGGGCCAGACGATGCTCAAGGCCACGCGGAGGTTGTGAATATTTTCGACCCCGATCCACTCAAGGTCAACACCTGTCAGTGTGATGATTGCACCCTGTTTTACCCAATCATCGAGCAATTTGCGGTCGCATATCTTGTCCCAGATGTCGTTCTTGGCGTCGTCGCTTGTCGAAGCTTGGTTTGCCATGACTATCGAGAAGGCGAGAGAGGAAGAATAGAAGTAGAGATTTTCGCAATCGTAGAAACACACTGGATGCCCTTTAAATAGCCTCCATCCGTCCACGTACCAACCCGGTTGATACCAGCTCCGCTATATTCAAGTGCGTCACGCGTCCCATATTCATCACGATTTGGACACCCTCGGGCGTCCAGCTTGTCCGAGACTTTTTCGCTCTGTGAATCCTTGGCGGGCCTAGATCAAAATCCTGGGCATTCGACGTCGACCACCTAGTGGAGCCCTTGCCGACAAGCTTACCCAGGCATCATAATTGTTTGAGCTCCATCTTCGGCCTTTGTGGCCAGATGTTGGATTTGTAGCTAGGCGAAGGTGTGACGCCTGCCTGGGTATACACGCCACAGCCGGACTTAGCCACGACGACTGCGGGTAAGTATATTGGCCCAAGGATCATCCGGGAGAAGACCACAGGCATAGCCAATGCATACAAAGCATCTTCTTGGCCTTTTCTTATTCCTGGCATACACAGATAGTGTGGCACAATAGAGGAGGCCGTCTTCCGAGCCGTTGGAAGGCGTTTTCGAGAGCGAGACCTTCGGTAGGGACTGGCGCATGGTGCCTTCCTGGACGAGACAGTACGCGGACACTGCGTCTTGTTTCTTTGGAGGGCCCTTTCCGTTGCCCATTGCTGGTGTTTGCGACCATAAGTGAACAAGTGGCTGTGCTCCCAAGTTGCCAGACTGCCTATCGTCGCGTACTATCCAGGACGTGACGCCTTGCGACAGATTCTGGCGTTCGGCCAGAAGCCAACGATTGGACGGTGATCGCTCAGCCATACAGTATCCACATCTCACAAGGCAGCCTCGAGTTACGCTTCCTACCCAACGTGCTCATAGGATGCACCTTGGAATGCGCACGCCAATGTTAACACGAGTCTTCGTGCGCACAGCAGTTTGTCCTCGGGTGCCAAAGTCACGACCCAACATACGACCGCATGCGCCGCCAAGCAGCCTGCACGTGACATGATACATGGCCCACTGTTTTCCACCAAAATATCAGGGTCATCCATAAAACACCATGATCCACGGGTATCATTGCGCGGTTTCATTTGCTTCGCGCAATGATCCCAGCTTCACCACAGTCCGTGTCTACCCAGCTCCCTAGCTATCAATATAATTGTCAACGCATAGATCACGTCTACTGCACTCGACTGTGACCCGAATAACTGTTCGAGTACTGACACCCTGGTGTTCTTCAACATAAACGACTTCTGCACTACCCTACCCGGTAGCTCGTCCAGTCCCGAACGTCACAACTCGCCGCCCGTAAGAATAACAGGCGATAACCAAGGTAAATACGGATGTTGTGAAGAAAGCTGGCGCGAGGAATAGGGAACGTCACAAATGCGGACAGACAGAGTAGAAGTGTGAGATTTCCTCATCACCAAACCAGCTTGTGAGGCAATAATCCATGGCGCTCTAGGTTATAACATCTCCCGCAGCCGATGCCTCTCAGGTGCTACGAGCTGTTCCCCTCCGAGGAAGCGCTCGCTTAGCCCGAGGATCTCCGCTGGTGTACATCTCATAATCCGAGTCGCTCACATTCTCAGGCTTCTTGAGACCGTAGATATCAATCATTAGATTGTCCGCGGGCAGTGCACCCGTGACAACAGCCCGGCACAGGCGCTGGCTTTGCTGGAGCCAGTGCTGCAAGGAATCGGCCGAATCGTCAAGGCGAGCGCGCTATTTGGATAGCATCACTAATCTTGTCTGCTTGCTGGAGAGGACAGGTCATCTCGAAGGCGCGAGCTGATCTCCGCATCGACCGTGCACCAAGACAACAGAGGGAATTGAACCGCCATGATCTGCTAATGGAGGAGAACCTCCAGCTTAGATGTTGCTCTGGCCTGCTGGGAACGTTTTCAATTGCAAAAATATTCCAGGATTAGCATCGATAACAGCCCCTACCACTCACCCCATGACTCATGTCGCTGGAGAAAGCGCACAGCTCACTAAGACCTCCCAGTGCGATTTTCCACGTGGAAGTGACCGATATCCTCTGAACCAACCGTGTCGAAAATTGTCCCGACCATGGTCCGCGCACGGATTACGCTGTACTGCACTTACATCGGGCTACCTGTACGAAATCACGTCTCGCGTCTTGCCCACTACTGCCCTTTTATTATGAGGTGCTTCCGCATCGCAGGAGAACCCGGTCCGCAGGCTCACCACACACATTTGCTTCCCCAAAGAGCGGCGCGATCCACAGCACCTGAACAATGTCTCACTGTTTGCCAAGATCCCTCCTCTCGATCACCCTAAAAAATGGAGAAAATCCGTCTAAATACGGTTAGTCACCCACATCTAGGTCAACCTGTTGCTATAAAAAAAGCGTAACCTGTCGCTCTAAAATTGGGAGAATGCTCCAGTTCGACAACAAGTGCTGTCAACCAACCGTCATTTAGTAAGCGGCGGTCAGCAATGTTGCAGAGAGCCTTGGCTGGCGCACCGTGTGTCTTTTTAGAACTGCGGCTGACATTACCGGGGGAGAACTGATGTCTAGTAGATGGGATGGAGCTGTAGGTACCGGACGCTTCACTTTCAGGCACAGTCAACCGCGCTTGGAAGGCTGAAGAAGCAACAACAGGGGCACAAGGGCCTAGGCACAGGGGTTGGTTCGCCGCCCGCCGCCACCGTGGCTTAGGGTGGTGGGTGGGGCAGCGGCTAGAGCTAGCAAAGGCAGCCTGATGTGATATCAGACGTGTTGGCTCAACGCGTTCTTCGCTCAGGTTTCGATCCCCCTCCATCGCCTCTTTCTTGTCTTTTTGCGCTGGCGCGCGCACCTTTTATGCCAACATGGCGACCACGAGCCGCGTGGAAAGGCTGCTCGAGACAGTGCGCTCACAGGAGAGGGAAGACCGTGCGAACAGAGATCGAGTTGGCCGTGAGATTGCCAGACTTGGCGATGAGATCGTTGGATTCGAAGGCGAGCGCGTCGACCTTGACGCCCGCCTCAAGAAGCACAAGGCGTTCAAGTCGAAGCTCGAAGTTCATGCCGCGAGCAAATCGCAACTCGAGTCTGCCATTGCCCAGCTAGACGCGGAGTTGCGGGAGCAACGTGAGCTATATTGTGATTCCCCCGATGGCACGTCATCGAAAAAGTTCTATCAAGTCTCGCGGCCTCTCATTGCGCAGTATGAGGAGAAGCTAAAATGCGTGCGCAACCTGGACGGATGGGAGCAGAACCTTGTCGATGAGATCGACGCGGAGAACATCTACCTTCCTGAATCAACGCCATTCGAAGATGGATCCGGCGATATAGATCGTGGCGAAGATACAGGTGTGGGTGCGACGGATGACCGCCCGCAATCTGTCGGTGAGCAAGCAGCGGACGGTCTTCCTCGCCCCTCTCCACCAAACCCTAGGAGCCAAAACGTGAAGGCGACGACGTCTCAGATAACCGAATTTGGGCTAATGTGTATCCTAGAAACGTCGCCTGTCTCAAAGAAAAGATACTCCGCGCAAAGTCTCTAGGCTCACAGAACGTACAATCGATATTGACACATTCTTCCAAAACGGCAAGAGCAAACACAGGATATTCAGAGTAAACGGCGACGGGGAGAACTGGTGGATTGTGTGGTGCAAAGAACACAACATGACCTTCGGCACCAAGAACTCACTCACAGGCGCTGGCAAGCATCTGAACTCGAACCGACATGGGGGCATGGATAAGTCACACGAAACAGCCCTTGCACACTTGGGCTACAAGGTTCTCAACTGCACTCCTCAGATGGTAGACGCGAACAACCGTGCTGTGGATGCAGAGCTAGAAACCTGCAAGTCTCATGCTCCTCACAAGAACAGGGAGAGGACAACACTTTCTAGCGGCGGCGACGATGCTGAAGCCGATTTTGTCCCCAAGGCTCATGTTAAGAAGCCGATGAAGCGCAGAGGTGACACCGCATCGCAGGCCGTGCTCGATCCCAAACCTGGTTACATCTATCGTGCCTGGATATCACAGAACTTTAGGGCGGTAATCTGCTTGCCACTCCCGCCCACTGTCGAAGCGACTGGCATCGTCGAGCTGCAGGCGCAGACAGAAGATCTTGTCAAGGAAATGGAAACCGAGCCCCCAGTTTGCTATAGTGAGAGAAATGGCAAATTTGTATGGGCCGAGGACTACGAAGATCATGGGCCCAAGGTCCAGGAGCGACAGTATCCCGTGGTCGTTATCAACAATGGCGATAGGACGAAATGGACCCGAGCTTGGATTCCAGCAAACGATCTCGCGGAAGTCGAGCAGACTGATCCATCTCTGCAATTCATCGCTAACCGCAACGCTGTTCTCGCAGAGCTACGACGGCGGAAGAACCTCGAGAAAGATCAAAGTGGGCCTGCCACAGGAATGCACAGGGCTGCCAGGGTCGCTCCTATTGGCAACTTTGCAGACTCTCATGCTCCACCCAGGGCTCGAGAAGATGTAGATGAGGTCCCCTCTGACGACCTATTGAGCTGTGAGATGGTTGCGGAGAATGCCCGAGGCCAGGATGGAGGCAGCCCGGTCGCTGAGCTTGGCAAGCAGCAGACTTCAGATGTCCAGGACACAGGCACATCAGACCGTTCTCGTGGCGGAAGTGCCTTGTCCGTGACCATAGGACCGAAGGTTGAGATGTCTGTCACTGGTCAAATTGCGGAATCGCAGAGCGCATTTGGCGCATATTCAAGTATGCATGACTCAACCACTTCCGAACCCATGGACACCGACCGGTTGGTAGGTGTTAAGAGTGGGAACCTCACACCAACAGACAAGGCGCCGCCACTGGTTTCCATGAAAATTGCAGGGCTCCTCAACAGCCCGGAGGTCCTGCCTTCCAGCGCGGACGTGGTCCGTGATTTTCTTCGGGATATAGCGCGAGACGCTCTGCCCTCTACCGAGAGGGACCTGGAGTACCATACCAGCAAGAGCCGTGATGCGCGCCCCAACGTGAGCTATTACAATGGGCATCATGAGGCAACGATGGGTGCTGAAAGTACCACCCACCACCAGACCGTGGATTCAGCCACAACCGAACGCACTGCAAAGTCGCTTTCCACATCTTCCGCATCGCCTCTCGAGCTGAAGTGTTCTCAATGCGGGATCACATACCGAGAGCAGTCGGCCTTTGACAAACACATGGAGACCCACATACGGCCGTTCATATGCGTCTTCCACTACGCTGGATGCAACAAGACGTTCTCAAAGAAGAATGAGTGGAAACGCCACGTGCTGAAGCAGCACATCTGCCTCAAATACTACCACTGCGACTACATGGAATGTGCCACCACCACACGATCCGGGACCACGTGTCGAGCCAACAAGCTTCCTGCTCGCGGTAAAATCTTTAGGAGAAAGGATTTATACATGCAGCATGTTCGCCGGATGCATCTGTCGAAGATCAACGCCCGCCAGGACCAGGAGGCCGTGGCGGAGCTGCAGCAACGAGCGCTGCGCACGCGTTGCCAGCTTCCTTTGAATATGGCTTGCCCCGCCGAGCATTGCAATCTTGACTTTCGCGGAGATAAGGCCTGGGACGACTGGATGGAGCACGCCGCTCGGCACCTCTTGGCGGCACACGAGAGACAGGAGCCCGAGGTCGGATTCGGCGGCTCCCAAGACACCTGCCTCACGGAGTGGGCCGAGCATCCAGACGTCGATGTTGCCAGGAGGGTTCAGGGAGGCTGGGCGCTGAACGACCCCTTGCAGGACTGCGATGAGGTCGCCCGCTCCAGCCCCAGCTCGAACATTTGCGATGAGGATGCCGAAGAGCCAGCCTAGTCCCGTAGAGACTACGCAGCTGGTTCACGCAATGCGACCTGTCTGCCTTCATTGAATCTACCAGAATTATCTCCACTATATCAATGAGTGGTCGTCATAGCGTATGTATATGGGGCTTGTTTCTCGCGTTTGTCCATAATTGGGAGAAGACAAACACTTCGAAGGCTGGCTTCCGGTCTGTTAATGGCAGCCAAGGAGAGCCAAAGGTAGGACGCGGATAATTGTCTAATGGGCGAGGCATTATTTTCCATTCAGTATTCATGTAATTAGACAATACTGAACATGTCGTACCATTCCTTTTGCTGTGAGCACATTGGCTATCCGGAGTCGTCAGCATCCTGTGAGGCCAGGAGAAGTAGGCACCTACTCCGTACCGCCCATGAGGTAGCTCAAGCATGGGGTCACCAACTCTGCTGGAGCTTGGTGCGCCAAGTTCGGCCGTCATGCAGCGAATCGTCTCAATCTTCGACGGTTGTCGAAGACTGAGGACGGCTTGTCTGGTTTTAGCCGTCAAGACCAAGCTGTCTAGTACATTGCTCGGGGTTGAGCTTCCCTTCCTGTTACTCGCAACATCCAAGTATCGGGTGTCAACGGACGACCGTGACGTCGACACGACCACGTTCTCTTGTCATCTCGCCGTAAGGATGCGCTCGTGTAGAGCCCAGGGCCGACGCACAACTGGGTTATGACTCTCATACCTCTTCACTGACAGTGGCGCAACCGAGTGTTAACAAGGCAACTCCCCGATTCACATCCGAGTACAGAAGTTTCGGGCTGCTGAGTGGTTCCTTCACGCCAAGTGACATTGTTGGTCACGAGGTATGATGATTGCAGCCTGTCACAATTGGTCATGTCCCTAAGACTTCAGGGGGTTTCTTCTGTCGTTGCCCCTTACCGAATGTGACCTTCTCCCCCAGGAGTCAAGTAGGTATCAGAGAGGGGTAGCTCCGATTTCAGTGCATGAATATAGGTTCGGCTGAGAGACGGATGGATTTTCTGATGCTCAGCGGCTAAACATGCTTCCTGACCGAGCTACTGTCACGGGATCCATTCTGGGATCAATGTTCAGCTTGTTCCACTGCAGGCGAGTCCCGCGCCTACAACCCACCCATGAAGACGTCGTCGCCTTCACCTTTTGGCCCCTGGGGTTTGGTGGAGAGGGGCGAGGAAGGACGTTCGCTGCTTGCTCGCCGACAGAGTGCGGGCGGTCATCCGTCGCACGAACACCTGTATCATCGCCATAATCTATATCGCCGGATCCATCATCGAATGGCGTTGATTCAGGCAGGTAGATGTTCTCCGCGTCGATCTCATCGACTAGGTTCTTCACCCATCCGTCCAGGTTGCGCACGCGTTTTAGCTTCTCCTTCCGCTGTGCAATAATAGGCCACGACGCTAGCGACGACTGCCCTTACATCTAGATACCTGTACGAAATCACGTCGCGCGTCTTGCCCACTGCTCTTTTATCATGAGGTGCTTCAGCACCCGGTCCGCAGTACTCACCACACACAAAAGAGCTCTGGCCGCCTAAGGGGCAAGTTGGGCGAGATGTTCTCTGAATGTGACTGCTTATTTCCATGGCTATTTTGCTTGGCACAATGCTTCAATGTCTATAACATTGGTTTCCATCCCAAGGCGGCCAATCGTCAATAGAGACCACAACCCAGGAGCGGTCAACGAAGAGGGTCCCGAACGCAGCGACCTTGTTCAGAGAGACAAACAATGTGATTCAGCTGCTTTTAGCCAAGTTGGTGTTGGAAAGGCAGACTGAGTACGGAACAATTGGGGATTCCCGCTGATATCAGCACCACCCGAGGTGGCTGACTTCGATTGAAGCTACGACTGTGAAATCAAGCTAATACGGATGAGATGAGGGGGGAGCTCAAAGAGCATCCCACAAGATGGGTGCATCCGTATATGATGGGCCAAGCAGGCGCATTCTCGTGGCCCCCGCGGTTGGGAAGCTCTCCCTGGCGCAGGGTAGTCTCATCGCCAGGGACAGAATGCAGCCACTCCAGCTTCTGATGTTAAGCAGCTCGGGTGACGTGTGGCTGCCGCAGGGCAAGTCGTCGATCACAGGTGGCCTGGCCTGAAGCGGGCGCCTAGGCAAGTGTGGATAGCGATGGCGGAGCCATCACACCCTCTCGGACCTAATCTTTCGTTGTGGCTGCCACACCGCAGTAACGCCCCTGTCAGGTGCCCTCAGCTGTGGCGGGGCCATCACACCTCTTGGTTTTTGTTTCTTTGTAGTGGCTGCCACATGACAAGGACACCCCAGGCAGGTATCCACACCAGCGCGGAGCCATCGCACCCTCCCAGCTCTAGCCTCATATTGTGGCTGCCACACCGCAAGAGAACCCCAGGCTGATGCGCACAGCTATTGCAGAGCCATCACACCCTCTCGGCTCTAGTCCTCTGTGATGGCTGCCACACGCCATATAGCAATAGCAACGCAATCACACCCTCTCGATCCTCATAATCCATAGGGCGGGAACCCCTTAAACGAATACCCACAGCAATGGCGGAGCCG